GCCGCGGTGTATGATGCTAGCCTTAAGTCTCCTGGAAGTGATTCTACGCCTATCGGTTCATCGCGTTGGCTGTAGTATTCTGGATTCAAATGCCGTGCTCTGCGGTCTGGTATCATTTGTCTGATGACAGGGTTCTTCGACGGGCTGTTTAGGCAAGTTGAAGCTGTCCGTCAACAGGTCAAATGGAAGCTCGGCGGATTCTGTTGCTTGTGGCTGACACAGTGTTGGTCGCAGTTGGTTTGCATGGCATACCCATATCTGCGTTCCAACCAGCACGTTGTAAATGACGTTCCCACGCTTTCCCTGGATCGTGCCTGGCGTCCATTTTGCGTGTCCTTCCAGGTAATCACGTACATGTATTGGCTGACCCGCTTGAACGACCGTCGCAAGGCAACATACCGTTGATTGAAGTCACGTTCCATCTTGAGGTTCCTTTCACCAGTTGTAGACTGAGGACGGCCGAACTGCATCAAATGGCATGCGAAGCTTTCTCTTCATCATTGCCTCTGCTGCCTCTCTGATATTCTACCCGGCGTTCGTGGATTTTGTGTAGACCGGTACAGAAAGAAGAAGCGATCGATCACCTCTTCTAGGTCTCTCTCCTTGATTTGAGGAGAGCGCGTTTGAATGTATCCACAAACCTCTCCGCTTGGACGTTCGACCGTGTGTGGAATGGTGTAGCCCGCACGTGTTTGATGGCGCAGCGATTACAGAATTCTGTAAATGTGACCGAAGTAAACTGTGCTCCATTGTCCGTCACCATTGTTTCAAGGCAACCGAACCTGCTGAAGATTTGTCGCAACCTCGAGACTGTTGCGCTGGTTTTCGTGCTGCTCATGATGTACACTTCGGGCCACTTGCTGTAAGCGTCGAGCACTATGAGAAAGTTCTGGCCATTGATTGAGTCTGCAAAGTCGACATGAACACGGCTCTAAGGTTTAGTTGGTTTAGGCCACGAGTGGAGTTCATTCTTCTGCGGTGCCCTTGAAGCGGTAGCGCAGTTGCTACAACTTCTAGCTGGCTGCTCCAGCTGTCTGTCCATAAATGGCCAATACGCACAACTTCGAGCAAGCGCTTCCATTCGGTTGAGCCCTTGATGTCCTGCATGGAACTACCGCAGCACTCTTTCATGCAACGCCTGCGGGATGACTACTCTGTCTGAGAACATGACGCAATCGTTCACAATGGACACCGAATGTCTTCGCTGATAGAATTGCTGCATTTCAGCAGATGAACACGAACGTGGCCAGCTGGTTCTGTGGAAGTGTGCAACCTTCTTCACGATTACATCACGAAGCGTTTCGACCCGCACAGCATCGGCTGTAACTGGCAGACCATGTAATGCCTCGCACACCAGGAATTTGACAGCTTCGATCTCAACTGAGGCTATGATGGTGTCATCGTGTGCTTGCTGCTGGGAATCAATGAGCCATGACAACGCATCTGCCTGGTCCATCGAAACAGTTGACTGATAACGGATGTCAGAATCATAGCTCGGCAATGTGAGTGCCCATTGTTGGAATCGATTGACTGTATAGGCCGGAATTCCCTTCTTCGAGCCGAAAATGACCAGCAGCCGCTTGTAATCCGTCAAGAGTTTGAAGCGACGACCATATAGCATCTTGTGAAATTTCTTCACAGCAAACACTATGGCCAATGCCTCCTTCTCGATCTGACTGTATTTTCTTTCGTCAGCGTCCTGGCGGCATGTGCGATCCCCTTTTGAGATCCATCTGGGAACGTATGGGAAACTACCGCACCGATCCCTAGGCTCGATGCGTCTGTGACAAGGACAATTTCCCCGGAGGGATCAAAGTGAGTCAGGAGTAGGTTTGAAGTCAGCAATGAGTTGGCCCGCTCGAACGCAGTCTGGTATTCTGATGTCCAATTCCAAGTTTGGCTCTTGCTCAGCATCTTGTTCGGCTGGGAACGCAGGCAATGCATTTCGGGCAGAAAAGCGCTGTAATGACTGATTAGGCCACAGAATGAACGCAGCGATTGCAAGCTCGCAGGCGAGGGCATCTTTTGAATAGCTCGGATATTTTCTGGATCAGGGCGACGACCGTCTTTTGGGAAAATGAAGCTGAGGAACTTGATGTGTGGTGTAAAATATGTACACTTGTCTTCACCGATACGGAAACCATATGACTGGATACGTACAAGCACTTCAGCGAGCCGTTGAAATAGTTCTTCTGCCGTCCGACCCATTAAAATGATATCATCCAGGTACGCCGCGACTCCAGAAACTCCCGCGAGCATGGTGTCCATCAGCTGCTGGAAGATGGCTGGTGCTGTTTTCACGCCAAAAGGGAGGCGGTTGTACTGGTACAAGTCACGATGAGTATTGACGGTCAGCAATTCTTTCGAGCTTTCATCAACCTCAACCTGGAGGTAGACATCGGACAAATCGAACTTGGCGAAACACTTCCCCCATTTAGCTTGGCAAAGATATCCTCTGGTATCGGAAGGGGGTATTGATGGTCGTCCAATGCGGCATTCAGGCCAGTCGAAAAATCGGCGCAGACTCGCACTTTACCGTTCGGCTTTCTCACAGCAACAATCGGCGCAGCCCATGAAGACTAGTTCACTGATGTGATGACACCGGCTCGTTCCAGTCGGTCGAGCTCCTGATCAACTGCTGTCATGGCTGCATACGGTACCGGTCTTTTTGCTCTAAAGACCGGCTTGGTTCCTTCACGAAGACACAACTTTGCTTTGAACTTAGTGCAGTGAGCGAGACCATCTTCAAACAAGGCGACAAATTGCTGCTTTAGCTTTTTGGTCATCTCTTCTATCGACAATGATGAATGTACTGGATCGGTTTGTACTCTATTGCAAATCTGACTCATTGGAACATCAAATAGTTGTAATTTTTCCATCCAGTCAAGCTTAGGGAGGTTCAAGTTTGGTCGAGCAGACAAGTAGCAGGTTCCGGCCTCTTCCACTCCGTTGAATGCAATTTTGCAATTTATTTCTCCGACCAGCCTCAGCACTCCACCGGATGCGTTGTGGGCAACTTTGTTAGAATCAACCATCTTCGGCTTCTTTATGTGCTTCCAAATGTTCCTGGAAATGATCGTTATATCTAATGCCGTAACGAACTGCAGCCGAGTCGAAATTCCGTTGATAATTACAGTTATAAATCGACGGTGTGTTCTAGAATCGCTGTGAAACGTGGCAATCACCGATAGTGATTCTGCGCCAGGCTTCCTGAAGTTTTACCTTTGATAGGACTACTTCACGTTTCTTGGCCGGGACTGATGGCAAACGTCTTTCTTGTGGCCGCTTGAATGGACAGTATCGTGCGAAATGCCATTCACCACATGACCAACAAGGTGTAAGCGGCTTGTTCGGCGTTCTGTTGAACGGCTTATAAGAGCCAGATTTTCTTGCTGTTTGCACAGCATGAACAGTATCGGCAATAATGGGGCGATTCTGC